TTCCGTGGTACCGATATCCGGTGGCGTTAACACACTGTGAAGATGAGAGAACAAATATATTAAGAGCAAAATAAATATTGAAATAGACATATTCTCACTTAATATATGTTTGTGGTCCATTCAACTGTTTTGATTTATAGCAAATCCAGCGTCAATAGTACAGAGAACTCAGAACTAAGCCCAAACGGCACGAAATGCATTCTCTTGGTGACTTCATATCACGACGTTCAATAAAATTCTGCTTCCACTAGTCCTACAACACTGGGTCGCGGGTTCGAGACCTAATTTGGGCAGTCGGCAGATACTGGCTTTCCTCCGCCACCAAAACAAGGAACGTCCTTAAATGACCAAAGCTGTTTATAGGACATAAAACACAAACAAACCAAGCCATACCAAGACGTATTTAGGGGTTTATGCTGTCACACTAAAACAGTATGTAAAAATGGTACTTAGAACTAAATCATTCAATTAATGTTATACTAGAATTAAACACATTAAAAATAAAGACAAATGTTGATGAAAATAAACCGTGTATAAGTACGTATGGTCATCAAGGTGGGTAAATGATTAGCATGGTGCTCGTCAATGTTTGTAGATGGTGGATTGTAACATTCACTAACATCAGAGGTGTTCTCATCTCGAAGCTTTTTACATAGTTTTCACCTATTCGACCTTTTCCTTGTGTCTACGACAGTAGCTAAAGACAACGTAAATGTTATACCAAAAGTGTATAAGCGTTCATATGGTGTAACACATTTCTTCAAAGTACTTCGCTGCCGTTAATTTCCAAATTTCTGTTGCTCACTTTTTTAACTTTCTCTCTCGTCGAACAAATCTAGGACAGTTACCGCATAAGCGTGTCGTGGTTGTCTCCCCTTTTACACTGTGTCGAACGCGTGACGACGGGGAACATTTTAACACTGGGGGAACCTAGCACTACCCCGGCAGATGTGTTATGTCTTTGTGTTTTCCTGAATGTTAAAATCTCCGAGAAAACTCTTAAACCCCTTTCCTACCTTGGACAGTTTTGTCATACACGCACAGGAATGAGAGAATACTATCTCCGAAGTTCCGTTATAGCGTTCCTAACCATTATAAATCCATGTAAGTACTACATCGCTTCGGCTTTATGACCAATTGCCGCTATTTTTTTACTTCAGCATGCAGCTTGAAATATGACAACCCAAATTTGAGAAGACAAAGTTCTCTTACACTTACCACTGTCATAAGTAAAGGATGATATACATTACTTTTTTGCAGTGTGCCTACAAAATCAAATAGCGATTAACATATTGTACCAGCCATACCGTTACAGTTTCTCTAGTCCGCGTATCAAACAAGCGTCGCTGGTCTGGCTGTACACGTACAATAATCTTAGCGGAATTTCGCTGATATATAGCGGTTTATTTCCCTTTAAATGTGAATATTGGTTATTGACGAAAAAAACGAATTTCAAACTTATAACTTGCATCAATAGAATATATACTTCTATATAATACTACATGTATTATGTAATTGCAGAGTCGTGAACGATTTTAACTTTTGTTTCTAAATCGAAACTAATAACTAATGTGTCCATAGTTTAACTACAGAGACAACAAATATCAAGGAATTAGAAAACAAACGAATGTCAAATCGTGAATAATCAACAACCAAACAAAAATATGTTACCGTATTAAAGTAAAGAGAAACGACCTAAAATCAATGTTAACCACTGATGAAAGAGGCAATTATTTTATTTATATGTAAGAAGACATTTAATGTGCTAGTTATGAAACATTAACCTCCAAAATCCGCGTGGTTAACGATAAATTGGTGTCTTAAAATCAGAAATTTGCGAAAGTTCAAGGGGCCCCAATTATCAACTGCACGATTGGTTTTAACTCAAATTCCAACAAGTGAATCTATAGCCTAGACGGTTCCAATCATTGCACGATAAGTTGTTATCAAACGCTTGAATACAAAATTAAAAGGTGTGGTATCATAAAAAAGACGCATAAAATAAAACAAGACCAAATATGACGATTGCAATCTCATATACATTGCATTAGTACAGTTTGTATACGTGATACAAAGATTCTATAAATATAAGGCAGAATAATCTCGGGCTGATGAAATTTATATGTCTCTGATGATTATTTCGGGGGCTAGGCTGGAATACCAGCTCTTTTTCAAATGTTGAATTTTACATAATATAGTTAGTTGGAACGACTGATAAATTTACATAATCCACTTAACAATAAAGCAGACGGATTTACTTATCAGTTAAAAAATATAGCAACAACATCGATAAGCTACAAGTACATGTATCATTATGCTTTAATTTTTCGTCCTGAAAATCCTTTTGCTCCTTTTTTGACGTATTATGTATATAATGTATGAGGTGATCGAGCACGTTCGTTCATATGTGATACCAACTTAGTATCAAAGTTGTCTGAAACAGGGACAAACTATATGTCACGGCATGTTCTTGCATACAGCATGTTATATCAGTGAGAAGTTGTAAGTTATTTTTGGTGCCTCTTTCAAGTTGAGAGAGTGTCACAAAAACATGGAGACTCCTTTCACTTTCAAAAGAATACGATGTTTTTAATATAATCCCCTATGGTGCCCCTTTGATTGTATGTCAAATTTCAAATAATCACTTTTGAAATGCTCCAGGAACCTCGGATATTGCAAATATTCTTAAAACAACTCATAAACTGTATTTTTCTAAACCGGAAGTTATCAAGCGAATCTCGGCAACTTATCTAGGTTATGGAGGCAGCATCGGAAAATTCGATCGAACATATAGGCAGGCACCCTCGCTTCAAAAAATTCATCTATTCCAGGAACCTCGAGTTTTTAATGGATCGCGCTTATTAATTTTTAACCCATATTAAGACGGTGTGTAGGGAAATTTGACATCCCGGCTAATACTATCCGGATTACTACCGACCCGTTAAACGCAAAAACTTAAAGCCCGTAGTGCTATCCCAATGGGCCAAATGGCCGCCATTTTATCCAAGATGGCGGATTATGCAATTAGCAAAGTGACCGTCATTTCTCCATATGTATTAAAATGTTACGACAATGTTAGACAACCTTTTTTTATATTCCTGAAAAATCCGGGATGAATGATGAATGTTTTAAGAGGATCTGACACAGATGACGGCAGTTCTGTGGGTACGTCACGTTATCAAACGACATTTCGCGTCACGTCAAAAACATCACTTACTGTCGATAATTGAAATATTATAACTCATGACGATACCTTTAGTGTTTACGATTAATGTTATATAGATGAGTACTGGTCTATTTTGAATAAAATAATGAGTAAAATGTGTAGTTTATGAACCGTACCATCAATCAAAACGTATCACTTTGGCTATCAAAAGGTTACGGCAAAACTCGTTGGTTAGGAAACAGTAGAGTACTACACCTTGTACCGGGAAGAGTTTAAACCGAAATTAACAAGGAATTCATTTTTTATTTACAAACATTAAAAAAATAAAACCAAAGGGCCATATCAGATAAAAATTTCAATACAGGTGTAAACATTATACTTATTCCGTAATCACATACTTTTATATATTTCAATGGAACTGACACAGGAATATCTTGAGGCCTCAAGAGGGAGGGGAGGGCTCTGGAATGCAAAATCCGTCATAGATTAGTCAATTTGAGATATTTTGGGTTTTCATGTACACGACTAAAACATCGTTATTGGTCATTCTAAATCGTATTATTTCTGAGACACACAGCCAATTCGGAGAAGTTTTGTTTGCAACGATTATATAATGTCTTGTATGTTCATAGTGTTTACAAAATACAGAGTCGTTCATGAGCATGATAAAACATACCCAACATGTTCTTAGAATGCCTTCAGTTTTAACTTTTAACTAAGCAGTGTATTACTTGAGCCAAGTTGATTGCGTGATTCTTTCACATGAGCGAGCTTTCCTGAAATCCATTATACACCTTCGCGAGCAAACGTTCCATTTCAATAACATGCATGTCAAGACGCTGGCGTTCTTTCCTTGCCATCATAAGGATCACCTCCCAGAGCAAACCGAGGAGCCGAAAAAAAATATACAGTATCGGCATAATTGTATTCAAGATTAATTGGCTTTATGTCCTGAACTATCGGCTAACATTAGGACATCTGCCGTTAATAACAAGTCAAAGTATTCATCAAAGCATGTCGTACCAGAAGTATGTTAGACCTTTAGAACGTATCGCAGGTGGTTAAGTTAAATAAAGAAACTGTCCCTTCCAGGCAATGTTTTCTCAACTATAATATTTTGGATGAGGTAGTGTTTTCGTAGTGTAAATCGTAATAATTGTAAATTCCTTTTAACAAGGAAATTTCAGTTGTTCCTCTGGAAAGTTTTTGGAATGCTTTGAACTTTTTCAACACCAGACTCTTACATATTCGACACAAATGTGTCAGATGTTGACATTCAAAAACTGTAAAAGAGCGATTAATGTCACGTACTTTCCTCATTAATTAGCATTCTTGACAGGTGTGTTGATTTGAAAGTTTCCTTTGATTCAACCAAGAGATGAATATATCATAACAAAATAATCAGAATTTGACGGTCTACGACCTACGTTGTGATAAAGCGGTATATAATTATTAATATCATATTATTATTTATGAAATACCACGAAGATGTCAATTTCGAACCCTCAGATCTCTTAACCTAAAACTTCCAGTAACACTAACTGTGATAAGTACCATGAAATTTAGATAATAAGTTCAAGGTCACTTGTCTGCCTCCCTTTAGACTGTTTGATAGTTGTGACATTGTAGCGTTTTGAAAGTCATTTTCTTCTTCTTTTTCTTATAGGCCATTTACTGTCTGTTATCTAACACGGCTCATTTATAATGAACACACTTATATCAGTTTTTGGCCTAAGGCAAAATGTTCGGTATATTGTACTGTCTGTTGGTCAAGTCACGTGATATACCCGTAACAAGGAAGTGTATAGTTATAGTTGTACCGACACAGAAACGAATGGTAGGAACTCACAGTTTGTGTGGAAAGTTTAAACGTGAAAGTACCAACACCATGTCAAGCAACAGATCCGTACAGCATGCCAAGGAACCCGTTACCTACACGTGTGCTTTGTGTGATAGTGAAGACGGGGTACGATGGTATTGTAACGATTGTCAGGAGAATTTATGTGATCGGTGCAAGGAATTCCATACACGCGGGAAAAAAACTAAAAACGATGACGTCGTATCGATAGGAGAGGCTAACCGTCAGGGCGACAAGCCTGTACCAGAGGTATGTAAACTACATCCCGGTAAACTGTGTGATCTTTTCTGCTCGAACTGCAATGCGTTGATTTGTTTGACATGTTTATCTACAAATCACAAACAGCACAACTGGAAACTTTTGGAAGACGAACTGTCTGTCAAAAAGGAACATTTTAAGGAACACATGACAACGATAGCTGACAGAATAGCAAATTTCAAGAACGAGACATCAGAGCGACATCGCGTGAACAAAACGTTCAAAGACAACATTGATACAACGAGGAAAGAGGTGAACTCACAGAGGACTAAGTTAAAGGCAGCAGTAGATGATATTGCGGAAGCAGTGCTGGCCGAGTTATCATCATTAGAAAAAGAAGAAGCACTATTTTACAAGAAAGATATTCAACGATCAGAGAAAAATGCCAAAGAGTTGACGCGTCTGCTTGAAAAGGCGGAACTGACGGCTGCATCTATTATATCTATATTTGAAACGAAAGTGTCATTGAGGAAAACTCTGCCCCAGTATGACGTTAATATGAAACATGTTTCACCAAAACAATCAAGCTTTGTTACAGGAAGTATCGACCGCGTCCTGCTGAAAAAAATGTTTGGTGAATTACACAAGGGACACGTTCAACGTCTCTCTTATTTTACTACTACTCAGCAAAATCAAATATTCAGTATATGTCCAGTCGACGACAGTCACGCGTGGTTATCAATATACAAATACCAGGGTCTGGAACTGGTCAACAGGGGTGGTGTGATCAAAGAGACAGTACAACTGGACTTCTCTCCATTTAGAATCACCACCATGATCAAGACAACAGACATACTTATGACCGGTATTCCATTTGGTACACACGTGTATAAACTATCACTTAGCAACAAACAAGTGACAACATTTGCTGACATCAGACCACATAAAGCATATGACATCAGCATCAACGACAGGGACGAAGTGTTTGTTAGTACAGGTACACCAGACATAGTGATACTGAATCAGTCAGGTACAATTGTTAGGAAGATGACATGTGGAATGGATGGGCGGTTTATTACATGTTTGTCGTCAGGAGACATTGCAGTGTCGGACTATGATAATGTATCAATCATAACAGACAGTTCTGATACAACCAAATATAAATGGACTGGTGAACTCAACAACGGTCAAAAGGTTGGTCGTTGTAACCTCTATAATATGTCATGTGACAAGTACGACAGACTGTTAATACCAGACTTCAATAACAATCAGGTGTATGTCCTACAGGGAGATGGTACACAGGCCACGTGTCTCCTGGATCAGAGACTTGGGGTGATCCAACCTACAGCGGTGGGTGTGGAAACGTGTGGGAACGTGTGGATCGGATGTGACGACGGTACCGTACACGTGATGGGACTGTAATTGAGGAAATGGTGCATAGGGTACCCATGACCTCGTGGTACAATACTGCATCGTGTAAATATAATTTCAAGTCGATTCCTCGATGTCTTATGGAAAATATACCCTCAAATATCGACCCAAACTGAGAGTCAAGGTCTCATCATTGAAGTGATCAACGAATTAACTAGTTAGCTGCGACGTGTTTTTTTTTATTTATTTGTTGTATTGTTATTATTTACTTACTTTATAAGGATTTATTTAGAAATATTCCATTTCATCCTAAGGTAAAGATCGAGTACCATAAAGTTAAAACATCTTATTATAATTTTCACAATAATGAAATATTTTTTAAGACATATTGTCTCCGCGCGATAAGTTATTTGCACACATGATGAGATAGAAAGAAAGGAGAGAGAGAGGGAGGGAGAGAGAGAGAGACTGTCAGACAGACAGACAGACATTCAGACAGACTTTGTCAATAATCAAGAGTGTGATACATAAGACATCTCCTGTACGTTTTGTAACTCTAAAATGATACAAACATCTAAATACATGTTAAATGGTTTTAGATTTGTACATGATTTTTTTATTTGCTATTCATGTATAAAACTAGCTAAGATGTGAAACTCTAAATAAAGCCTTTCTATTTGTATAACCTCTGTGTCTTTTTTATTTAAAATTCAAATTTAATTCATTCAAAATACCAATACGTTAAATTCGATTAACGCCACTGTTAAGGTTGTAATGTATTTCATAAAAAGCACATGTGGGGATGCATTTTTACAGAACTATGATTGTTTGAAAATTGAATGTTTTTAGAGCCGGAATGAAATGGGGAACAGAAGGATGCAGGAGACACGACCTTTACACTGTCAAGCATACGCCGATACTTCCGTCTAAAAACTTCGCACCGAAATTATATCCAATTTAAGGGCCACAAAGTCTATGAAAATGAGAAATGAAAGATTCATAAGTAGACCGGGGAAGTAACTCGAAGCTACAAATATATAACAGATATTACTTCATTTCAAACAAACATAGTGGGAGATTCTTCGGGATTATAACTGGTTCAGTGGTACCGTTTATCAGTCATGGAACATGTCATAGCGAAATCTAAGGCAAGAAGATAGCTGTTTGATTGGTCTCAGGTAAAAAATAACAATCACTAGGCAGGTACATGTCCTTTGAAGATGACAGGTAAGAGACACTTCAAAGCCAGTCAACTTACCGTTACGGTGCCACATAAATATTTCATTGTACGCAAAAGGATCAGACTGGTCTACCACTGAAGGTAACCCCTGGAATATCGAGGCCATGATGTTAGGGAGGAAACCGTTACATAAATGACTTGTTTTCAAAAATTCCAAATCAAACAAAGTTAACTTTTTACAAATAATAACTGATAATAAGATTTCGAAAGAAAGGTAAATAACTCCAGCCAAGGGACATATTATTATTCAATTTTCGAACCTTTTATGCGACTGCGTTGTGATCAAATCTTAAATGACTGGTATCAAACACGGTTGTGTAACTAGAATAAGAGGGAGGTTTTGTAGGTTACAATTACTTGTGTCCAATCTTTGCTGTATACTCTGTAACAATAAAATGTGTTTTTAAAATCAGATTTACAATCAGTTTGGTGCTCTGAATTCTTGATGAGAAATGAATAAGATGCTGATGTGTTAATTACATATATTTTGCGTAATTAAGACTCCAATTAAATACTTATATATCCGACTTTATGTAGATATTTTAAATGTCATCAATCAAAGTCGTACTAAATCACATATCAAGGCGATCTTTCAAAAAACAGACATTACAGCCAAGCGCACAGACGTGATGGACATATGGACGAAAAAGACGTTGTTTTTAGTTTGGGTTGTCAACGGTTAGCCGGTTAACCAAATAGTCGGATATGTATTTACCCTTTTGGGAAGCCCAATACTGCCCTGGCTTAGACCTACAAATTATCCATAGCTGCGACCAAAAAGGATAGTTTTGTAATAAGAACAGTGTTTAAGGTGGAATGTTAGGATTGTTTATGTACTCTATTGTAAAGATTGACAAAGATATCCTGCCAGCTCCATAGTAATACCGAAACAGGAAGCCAGAATACACAGTTGTGAAATATAAACATTTAAAGGTACATGAAGGAACGCGCTTTTACATGCGAGACATAATTATGTTATGAATATAATATAAAGAGTACACACTTGAATGAGCAAGCATGTAGTAAAACGTTTGTCGATCAAATTTTGTTCTAAAGAACGATATTACCACATATGATTTCGAGTACTAATAACTGTAAGTAAATCCTGCCTTACTGTATTCCGACATTTGTGTCAAGGAAATATTCTTACTGAGGTTACAAATAACTATTTCCTTGGTTTAACTAAAATACGCGAGTAAACTATCATGCTAATTAATATATACCTGTATGTATGTGGTGTAGACACGTTTTAAATGGGGCACTTGCTAAACATATAACGTATTGTCGTTGTTTATTGTTTGATTACAAAATTGACCGAATAACCATAACTCCGTCAAACGTGACTGCATACTTGTTTGTGAAAGGCTCATTTGTTTAAGTTGTGTGATGATACCCAAAATGGAGCACTTTTATTTTGTTTGATGTTGCATTTTACTTTTACGCTACAAATTTGAAGTTTTCGTTTAAAATTAATATGTGTTTTGCCTTATGTTTATTGTCAAGAGAGGTTGCAGTATCGGCATGCTATAATAAGAATCCTAGCACGCACAACTAAATAAAAATCGACTGGTGAACTCAACAATCGTCAAAAGATTATGTGACAAGTACAACAGAGTCTTTGTACGAGATTTGAAGAATAATCAAATGTATGTCCTTTGCCATTGGTTACCCATGAAAGAGTGGATTTGGATAGGTGTGGATCGATTATCGCGACGGTACCGTCCCAATCCTGGAACTGTAAAATGATGAAACTAGTGGTACAACAAAATCGAGTGTGTAGATATAACTTCAACACGATTAACCGAAGTATGATGTACAAAAAATCCTCAAATACCGAATCAAATTGTAGAGACTGCGACCTTAATTATGTTAAATGACCTGGGTAATCGGACAGACATAAGTCATTAGAATTTTTAACAGACAATGATCATTAATATGATCAACGAATAAATTGTTGAGTTGGCCTGAGTGTTTTTTGTGTATGTTTTGTTTAGTCTTTTTGTCATTCCAGAGTTGTTTGGGCTACGACCGATGTATTTTAAATAAAATCGTTAACTCCCATGTACGGGTGTATACGTGAATGCACTACGCTGTATTAAATATCGTCGTGATATACATATTGATTCTACAAAGTAACATGCCCTAATATTCCTATAAAGCGGTCGGTATTTGATTTAAAAGTCACTCAAAAATAAGTGGAAACATTATCACATAGATATCGTCGTGATATACACATTGATTCTCCACAATAACATGTCCTTATATTCCTATCATGCGGTCTGTTTTTATTTTAAAGGTCACTAAAATTTAAGTGGAAACAATATCACATAGTTCTATATACACTCTCACACATTCGGAACTCGCAACAAGAATACAATCTACCTTCCTGTTACCAAATACATCCACATGGTTATTTTATATGTATGAAAACCAGATGTATAAAAATTAGTGTGTGAAAGTATTACATGTTGATTGTGTTTACATAAATGAACAATAAACATGTTATAAAGTATAAAAAAAATCGATTTTGAGATAAAAAATATTGTTTAGGGTACTACAACCCTATCTATAAGTTGTGAGCTCATATTTACCATGATTGTGTAGTGCATGCAGTTTATTTTCCCAAACTTATAAGAAATACACCTACCATTTTTCTACATTATTGTTTTACCTTTCTCTTATGTATTGTAACGTTTTCCTATACGTTTTAGTAATAAATCTTCTCTAATCACATATAACGATACAACTTTTAATTGCTTCATTAGGAATTTTTAGAAAAGACCACTGTGAAATTTGAAACATTTTATAAAAAAATTCTAATAATTTCTTTATGTTCCCTTGAAGACAGCTGCTGTACTCTGTACACAAGCATACCCGATAATACGCCTATTTGTAATAAATGTGGAATCTTGATTAATAAATGGTTGGAGATTGAAATATCTTTTGAAATGTTAAATGTAAGTATTAAACGGCCTTCAGTTGGCATTCGTAGTCATGTCAATGAGGCGTGCTAGTTCAACACTTAAATAATCTTCAAACTAAACACTGTGGTACTGCGACGCTGATATTTGGCCTGGGGGTTCAACATTGATGTAGGGAAGTCAACAAAGGAACAAGACGGAATTCGTACCAGTTTCTCTTTATTTGTTTGGGGTGTTTTGTCATGTTCTGAAGTATAATTTTATCATAAAATTGTCCAAATTAAAATGTATATGAAAGTGTTGAAAAATGAAAATGCTACATGTGAAAAATCAATATTTCTATCAACACTATGATATTTGGAAATTGGGATATTGGGAAAAAAGCAGGGGCTACTTTGCAATTCTGATTGCCTTTATAAGATACGATTAAGTTTTGTATGGACCAATATAGAAAACAATGTGACAACAGAATTCCTCCTGCCTCTCTTCTAATTGTATTGTCTATTATATGACGTCTCATTTAGGTGATGTCACAATGGTATTTTTCGATGAACGATGACGGACGTTCACACGTCCGAAACGTTACATGATCTGAACAATTACGGTGAGACTTAAGCAGGAGTAGGTGATATTTGGTGACGTCATAACAATAGTAAACACAAACTGATAACGTATTCGCAATATTAAAAAAATGATGACGCAATCTAAATACAAAAAAATAAATTGGTAGCAAAATTAATTGGTTGACCAGTACCATGTGGAGTTGGTACATGCGAGTTCCTATGTGCGGATTAACACGACCATGGATGGATATTCAAATAAACAGTTTCCTTTTTCTTCCCGTTTTTCTCGTTTCATCTCTCTTAGGATTTCCCCTCTACCAATAACGTTAATAGCTAGGGCTATGTAACTACTGACTATTACATCCTTCCTATTTACAAAATTGATACAGAGGACTGGGTGTGCATACCATGGACATCACATATCATAATTGTGTATGACGTTCGTCCTAATCCTTAAATCATGCAAATATTGGGTGGTCGGGTGGTGCAGTGGATTATACACTCTGCTTCTTTTACCAAAGCGGTCAGGTTTGATTCCGCGATTGGACGTGGAAAGGTATTGACTCAACTGCCTTACTACGTGGGATTTCTCCAGGTACTCCAGTTTGCTCCCAAATTGAGACCCCAACACGCTATCATCAGGTAAAAAAGAGTTAAATATGAGTTTTATTAACTTGTTTTATATTATGAAACAATCCAGTATGCTGACTATCCGCTCTTGACATCCCGGAGGAAAGGATCATTTGTGTAGTCCCCATCATCTCTGACAGAGTCAGCGTCCACAGCTACCACCATGTTTTGTGAGTGTGTTTCTCCGACCGAGGCGGAACCTTTTCTTTATAAAGTGGCGTCATATCTATTACGTGTCGAAATAGACAAAACACGTCAAAACATTTCACACTGACATTATGTATATTGAAAAAGTAAAATACACAAACTGGATTGAGTCACAAGTAACAGCAATATCACGATGGCTCAAATATATATATATATAACAAATACAAAGAGTGTCTAAGTACCTCCTTAGCGTTTACACCTCTTTAGTAGGCCAAACGAAACGCAGTTACGTTGCAGCCTATTGTCAACGCCTCCGAAGCATGTGTACAACTACAATCCTAGCATTCTGATTTGTCTAAATCTTCCAACAAGTTACTAACACCACCTAGTGTTGAAATGTGTAAACGGTCTATCATAAAGGTATTGCCGCCATACTCAAAATGGTTTTTCGATACATACAATGACACTTTTCAGATTGACACATACGTCAAACATGAACTGATATTGCTCTAGTTTACATTAATTTTCCGATACGTGACAATATGGCGGGGCGAACTGGATTATGGGATGACTGACTTCGAAGGCCATAGTGCTGATATACTGGGAAATTCAAACTGTTGATTTTTGTTTTTAAAAAATGAGGAATGGTAAATCAATCATCAAAAAAGTCATCTCAACATAATTTTATATTCCACATCACATAATCCTCCACGCTTTGAATCACTTGTGATACATATTTATGCCATGAATGGCGAGATAAACTTTGCACCGTCCAGTCGCCAGTCGGTCAAACAAACATTGTCATTGTGGATTTGAAACATTTAATTATTATTTGAATATCATTTTCATTTGTCAATATCGATGCATTATTAAATTTAAAAAATCTTCGGATATTAGAAAAAAAAACAGAGCTTCCAAAATAATTGTAAAACTTCTTCGGACTTCTTCGGAGATTCACTTTTTCTGCTGCTGCTGAAGAGAGCTGACATCGACAAAAGGGGCTTGTATAGACTTGTATGATAAAATTAGCTTGAAATACCTATATATAAAGACATAATGTATAGGTATTTCAAGCTAATTTTATCATGTAAGTTTATATAAGCCCCTGTGCATCGACTATCAACTGCTCTCATTTTACGCCTAAGAAAAGATCTTTTCAGACCGTCAGTAAGCACAACCATATGTCATGTTTGTAATTGAATACTGTGAGAATGCATTTTTCAATAGCAACTTTGCACACATGGCCGTCATGACACCATTTACATTGATCACACAGACAATATGTCTTTTAATCAACTTTACGGAGCAAGGAATCTTTGCCCTATACTTATATAGAATTTTGAGTCAGCAGGTATTTATTTCAATTTTTTGAATGATAACATTTTAGTGTACCTTGTTCATTCAGTAATTGGCACGTCGGCTATGCATATCGGACCCACGCGCGCAACCAGTCGCCATGACACTTTTCGAAGAACAAACAGCCCATTCTGTTTATTTGCACTTAGTTCTTTATTAAAAAACAAAATATTATTAATATAGCTTATATAGAACACTTAATACCACAACATGGATAGTATTGTATGCACCCTTTAAAGTGTACGCGGAATGATTTGCAATATTAAGTTTGATAATACACCACTTCATAAAACAGAAAGTGGAGAAAGCGCGAACGCCATAGCGACTTTCGTTTCAGAGAAACCACGATATTTCTTGAAATCTCACCTGTGGCCCTACAGCGATGACCCCGTTTCGGTGTCCCAGACCTGTGACATCACAAGTTCAACGCGGTCAACTCAGCCCTATTAGATTGCACCAAGGAAGATCGATATGTACCGTGATATATGTGGCCTGTCATGTGATTAACAAAGTTTTCATCTTCCTTTTGTTGTGATTATAGATGTTTAAAAACGACAAGTGTACACACCCATATACGTTTATTTTAACGCTGAAGTGTTGTGGAAGGAGCTCGTATCGAGGAGGAATAAAACACGTGTTGTGTATGGATGTCGGAACACGCATGCAGATAGTGTCTCATTTCCACGCATTTCCCTTGAACTTGTCAGTGTTTGGAAACAATGCGTACAGTTTGTTGAAAGTGGGAAATACCTACAAAATGTTCCTATAGTGTTCAAAACACTATTTGAGGGCAGTTCATATTCTATAAAAACGAATCAAATCGTTCCGGTCTCTCCCGGTCCAACATCCTACTCGTTACCCCCGGCTCCTAAAAAATGTGATGGCTGTTTTCCTTAACGACATACATAGATCTACTGGAACGTATATAGTTTGAATATATTTTTGATGTAATACAAATGAACTACGACTTTCATTTTATCAAGGACCTTTATGTAATATTAGGTGAGAGCCATGAAATACCACGGACTTGTATATATCTAATATATGTTCGTGGAAGTACGAAAAATATTTTTTTCAGCAAACGCCTGTGAAATCTCGTACTCGTGGAAGGGGGATGCTCATACTTGTCAGCAGAAACATTTATAAAGGGTAATTGATTCATATCTATACATGTATGTGTTATTCAGTGTCTTGACTTCGTTTTTTTAAAAACCGTTTACGAGACAGCTAAA